TGGCACTTAACAACAACAAGAACAACAGCATAATATTTAAGAGTCCGCCCATAAGTGCCTCACTCTCCTCCTGCTGTCTGGCCATTGAGAGCCCTAGTATGGATGCAGACGTGGAGGGGAGAGAATGAAGACAAGGGGGCACTGTGGCAATCGGGGGTGGACATCATGATGGTGGTGCAGAACACCCAACTCAGCAATTTGCCTGTCCAGGTTACATTGGAAGAGGTCACATCCCATATGGCGCTAGAGTAAGGCCAGGGGACGGAGAGGTCATACCTGTGGTTGCCATGCAGAATACCACGGCCCTGGTCCTGAATGTACAGCTTCCACAAGAGTGCTAACAGAGCATTCAGCATATCATTTGGCTCTGTGTGTGGAGGATGTACCATCTGACCTTCACAGGAGGAAACCTCACAGAGGACAGGAAGGAGCTCAAGATTATGGTATCTGGAATCAGAGTAGGTCTCTTTAATGAAAAAGCTGAGGTAAGGACAGAGACACGGGCCAAGCTCTTCCATGAAGGACATTGCCCCCAGTCACTATCTCCTTCACAGAAAGGCAGGTTGCAGTCTCACCTAGATTGTGCTCTGCCAACCACCTCCTTCTCCATCGGGAACCATTAACATGAACCTCGGAGCTGTTGGGGCCTCAGTCCCTATTTTCCCATTTACTGGCCCAAGCTTGACCCCCTCCCAAGAAACAAAAAATCACACAGGGCTGTATGTATGTCCGTATGTACCAAATAAATCTGTTGTGGTTTTCTTTTTTATTTTTTTTAATAGTTTTAAGAAGAAAAATTATATTAGTGTTAAATAGTTTTATAAAAATGGCCTAAAATGATGCTATTTATGAATATGAAATAACACTACTTTGTAGTGATGCAGACAGCTTAGAAAGCTAGGTAGCTGCCCTTACTTGTAAAAAAAATCATTTACCTCTTTACTGAGTTGTGGGATCATAAACTGTTTGTCTTTCAGTCCATTTTACAAAACATGGTCAGTTACCATTTTTTCTTAACTTGGTTATACACTCAGTTCACCAGGGGAGCTTTAAGAATTTCCAATATCTGAGCCACATCCCAGACTAATCAAAACAGAATCTCTGCCATCAAGGCAAGCAATCAAGTCCCTTTAGGACAAACCTCCCTTCAAACTGAAACGCAAAGGAAACACTTAAGCAGGCATGTAACATGCTGGTGACCATGTTGGTCTATATGTGAGTGGAAGTGAGGAAAACGCAGCAGTGAAGATATGGGCTGAGTTCGACTATGTTCCATAGATTCCCGTCAACCTTGAGAGAAGGGGTCCGAAGTTTGGGGAGACTTGGGAACCTCTGAGCCCATGGGTAAAGACCTGGCCATGGAGGGCTAGAGCTGAGAGTGAAGCATACAGCAGATAGGAAGTGAGGGGAGACTCACAAGAGCGCCCTAACTTGCACATAGAATCCATTTGACCTAGCTTCGATGGCTTGATGATTAGAACTCAACTAGAGGAATATAAAGAAATTTGGTAAAGGAAACAAGTGTAAATTGCTATAATTTGATGAACTTGACCTATACTTATGGATGTAGTAGCTCAAAATGCCAATTGAAAGGGGAGGAGTCTTAACATGAAGGATCAGTGCTATCCCCTCTGTACATAGGGTTGATAGGAACTGTCAGCTCAGACATTGGCTGTCTAAAATGGGGGAACTATAAAAACATGAAGTGACTGGCTTACAAGTTTTCAAAAGGGATTTTAATTTCAGAGTGTGCGGGGAAA